AGCAGCAACAGTAGCAGTAGTAGTAGTAGTAAAGGAAGGGGTAGTAGTAGTAGTAGTAGTAGGATAAGGAGGGGTGATAGCAAGAGCGGGCGCTATTTCAGTCTATTATCAGCACCGTTGACGTCAATGTATACTACCAGTATTGCTGTTATTAATACCATAACAGATAATACTGCTAGCAAAATTATTTTCACTACTACCTGCCTGTTTGTATTCGCATTATCACTCTAATACTAACCCATTAACATTATCCTCATTATTATTTTAATTATCATTGTATTTGTTATTATCATATTAATCATTGATATAACCATTATCATTACCATTATTATCATTATTACTACAAATATCATTATCATTGCTATCTTTAATATTATCATTATTATTAGTATCATATTTATTATTATCATTATTATTATTACTATTATTATCATTACTATTATCATCATCATTATCATTCATTATTGTTATTATTAATTTTGTTAATATTCCCCTTATTGCTATTATTATCATGATTATCATTATTACTGTTGTTGTTACTACTACTACTACTATTGTTGTCATTACTATCATAATTATCGGTATAATTATCATCATGATTATCATCATCATTATTATTATCAACATAATCATCATCATCAGTGTCATCTTCCTCATCATTATTATCATTTATATTTTTTAATGTAATTGTTATTGTTACTAGTAGTAGTAGTAGTAGTAGCAGTACCATTATCATTATCATTACTATTTTTATTATTACTATTATCATTATCATTTTTATTATTATTGCTGTTATCATTACAATCATTATAGTCACACACACATACGTACACGCAAAAATGCATACCTAAAACACACACACACACACACACACATATATATTTACATATATACAAATCTATATATATATATATATACATACATACATACATACATATATATATATATATATATATATATATATATATATATATATATACATATATATACACATATGTATGTGTATACATATATATATACACATACATATACATATACATATATATATATATATATATATATATATATATATATATATATATATATATATATATATATATGTCTTTGTGCATGTATATGTATTAATTTATGTGTGTATGTATTTATGTATGTATGTATGTATGTATGTATAGACAGATAAATAATCTATCACAATGTACCATCAATGTTCCTTTTTGGTACAGGTATACCAATATACAGACAAGAAACTGACCTTAAAAGTTGTTTTCACACAGGGAGAGTGTAAATTATTTTGTAAATGATAAGCAAAGAAATCCCAATGAGCTATCATGACACCTTGTTTACTTTACCAGGGCAAACTCTTTCGATTTTACCTTCGATTTAACTAACGCTTTCGTTCTGCCCCTTCCTTTACCCCTACTCCCGCCCCGCAATGCCCCACTCCCTCCCTCCTCACCTCTACCCACCTTCCCTACCCCTCACCCTTCCTCTCCTCTGCCCCTTCTCCATTATCCCCTGTTCGTACCTCCTCCCTACCTACCCTAACCCATGCTCGTAACTCCTCTCTCCTTACCCTAACCCCTCCTCTCTTCTTACCCGCCACCTTTACCCCTGCGCTATAACCTCCTACCCTATTCCCCGCTCTCATCGCCCTTATCCCCACCCCCCCCTTTTTCCTCCTTATCCCCTCCCTTCTCATAAACCATTACTGCCCCCACCCCCTTTCCCTTCCCCTCGCCTATTCCGTGACCCACTTAGACAAAGGTCAGGTAGATCGCTCGTACCATGCGTTAGGCTTCCCTACCTGTCTTTGTGAGATCCCACTGTGGCATGAGGCACTTTGATTAGAAGGGGAGCAAATACCACCACCGATATCATCACCCCGCCTACACACATATGTACGTGCGTGTTAAAATAGAAAGGATCAGCAAGGATAGGCCACGGCCTCAAAGAACGAGAGACGAGAATTAGGTGAATATAAGAGAGAGAGAGAGAGAGAGAGAGAGGAGAGAGAGAGAGAGAGAGAGAGAGAGAGAGAGAGAGAGACTGCAGTGTCGCAGGCGGTCCACAGGGAACACTTCATCGTACAAATAGACCCCTTATTACGCAATCTTTTCCTTGAAGTTAAGTGGCTAATAAGCGTTTTGGATTCTCCCCTCCTCCCTTCCTCTCCTTGGACTCCCATTTCCCCTCTTCTCCTCAATATCGCAAAAGCCCCACTAATGTCCCAAGAATCAACCAGGTAATAGAGGACGGCGCGGTCTGATACCACACGCCGAGGGTCCCGCTAGAACTCGGGCGCCATCGTTATATGGCTGTTTTACTTGGATTTCTCGGTTTTCATTCGCTTTCTCTTTGTCTTTGTCTGTATGACTCTCTTTTTCGCATTTTCTTTGTAGAAAATCTGTCTGTTTCTATCTCTGTGTCTCTTTCTTTGCCAGTATGAATTAGATTTAACACCCAAAATAATTTCTGGGTATTTATTATAGTAATCATTATAATGATAACGACAACGACGATGATGATCACGATATTTATTATTATCATTATTATCATTACCATTATACGATGAAAGCCCTGGGGAGGGAAGATTCAAACTTTTTTCATGGTGTGCCATATTCTACCCATCGAAAGACG